TTTTATTTTATTTTATTTTATTTATATCCCGCCTATCTGGTCAAACGTCCACTCTAGGCGGTTCATTCAAATAACCAAGATTCCAAACCATTCAGACCTGCAAAGGTTAATAGTGGCAATTTAAATGTTCTTTGTTTATTGCAGTATTTCTAATCTGCCCTGTATTGACAGATCTCACTTTGGGGCACAACCCATACATCACATATTTAAAAAAAACTTATACAATGTGCATACTTTAAAATGATGAAAACATTTTGAAACACTTTAACATTTTAAATAAGGTTGAAAAAGACCAATTGAAAACCAAACCATAATCTTGCTAATCACCATATTCTTGAGTGAGCTATCTGGGTTTAATTTAACTCTGAAATAAAGACAGTGTTGGTACCAGTTGCGTTTCTTAAAGAGGGGCATTTTGTAACAGGGATGCTACAGCTGAGAAAGCCCTCTCTCACACCTCCACATAACATGCCACTTTGAATGGTTAGTTAGTTAGTTAGTTAGGCATCCTTCAGTCTCGAAAGACTATGGTAACGTGCTCTGTATGGAGGACTTGTAACAGCATCTAGTGTGGCTAAGTGGGACACAGAGAAAGGCATTTTCGGCAGATCCTAATGATTTGGCAGGTATATGCACTTTTGAAAATCGACTGAAATTTGATCAAATTGCCTGCCTGCTCACCCCCAATTGGTAGCTGAATGTTATGTTGTCTTTAAAGACTTGTCTGTGGGGAAATCAGATGGGGCAATTTCCTTCTGTTCACAGCCATCCATGTTTCTTCTCCCATGAGAAGAGTCCAGATGGGTCATTGGATTGCTGCGGTTTGTCCCCCTTTCAATTAATAAAACTTCTCCTTCCTGCTCCCTCCTTCACCTTTTCCCAGGGTTGTCATTCGGTGGGCAGTGGTGACTTTCCTCTCTCTTTTTGTTAAATAAAACAAGTGACATATCAGAACAGCAATACATCAATGCGCTGCATCAATAGGGAAGTATATTTAAAAATTTAAAACAGTAGAGTAGATGAAAATAGAAGAGGGGGTTCTCCATCATCCTTTTCTATATCACAGCCCACCAAATACAAATCAGGGCTGTCAGCACAAATAAAACTGCCTACAGCTCTATTTTGATGCAAACTAGCCAGCCATATTCAAAATACATGTAAATGCTGTGATTTGATTTGGACCAAACACTATTTAAAATGATCCAGATAGCAAGTTGGATGTGTCCTATGTTGATGACATGGCTGCGGAGCCAGACGTTGGGGGTTCAGTTCCCCACAGTGCCTCCTTGACAGGGGTTGGATTTGATGATCCATAGGGTCCTTTCCAGCCCTGCAGTTGTAAGATGATGATGATGATTTATTTATTTATTTA